TAACGAAGGGATGCAATTGCATAAGAATATATAGTTTTTATAATGGAAATAATAATGCAAAATACGCAAAAGAAGCAGAATTTTAAAACATCGGTAAGAATGAATTTCTTTTTCTGTTGTTACATACATTACATCATTTTAAAATTGCAATCTAATCAATGATGATCTTACATCGTTTTGATTTGATCGTTTTAATTCAAACTAAAAATTTGGATACAGAAACTTGTAAAAATAAATCGATGATGTTGATTCAACATCGAATTAACATGGATACCATGATCTGATATCATGGCGAAGAACTTAAGACTAAGCATTGATGCTGTAACCGCAGGCTAAGTATTGAGCTTAACCGCTAAGCACTGAGCCTAATATGAATTACTGTTTTATATATTTGCTTGTATTCTGAAGATAGTTTGTTCATCGTCTAATGATTTTCAAAATGATATTTCATTATTTCTCTTTTGACTTAAAAAAAGAATGTCTGTTTAAGAAATCTATTACTATAAAAAGTTAATTAAATTTCAAAATTATTATAATACATCAATCATTAAACAAATTAATAAATTATGATCACATAACACATTTCACGTGATAAAATTTTTTAGTGTTCTGCACCTCGTTATGTGTTATTTTTTTTAACAATACTTGATCTAAACAAAAGAAGCAAAAAATGAAATTTCTCAAGTTGGAATTCAATAATACAAAAGAAATGAAAGGTTGTCTTTTCATGTTATATTTATCAATTAAATAACAGATGAGATATTTTTAGTCTTGTAATAATACAAAAAACTAAATGTTGACATTTCACGAGCAAACAAAGTGACGAGATATCTTTAGGTCTTAAAAACAGTGGTTATAATAATACAAAAATAACGAAATGTTGACATTTCACAAAGTTTTTTTTATCTTTTTAAACAATAACGAAGGGATGCAATTACATGAGAATATCTAGTCTTTGTATAATGGAAATAATAATGCAAAAGAAGCAAAAGAACGAAGGGATGACTTTGTATTAGATATTGATCAGTTTTTTATAATAATTTTATTGTATTATTAAAAGTTCTCTAATAAAATAAAAGATATAAATATATGTAAATTACGCTCACGAATCTATCATTTTCACAATATATTATAATAAAATCACAAATATAAAACTTTTCTTGTCTGTTATTTCAATTCTTTTAATTCATTTTTTTTTTAAATTTGTTTTTTCTTTTTCTTTCTCTCTCTCTCTCTCTCTCTCTCTTTTATCTTTCGATTTTTTTATTCCACCTATTTTTTCGATCGCCATTTCTAATTTGTTTTTTTTTCTTTTTTTTTTCTTTTTAATATTTCATTTTTTTCGATTCTATGCCATTTGTAATTCATTTTATTTTTCAGACTTTTTATTTTACGTCAATTTCTCAATCAGCATTTATTTCATTTTTTTCTTTTCTTTTTTTTTATTTCTCAATCTCGTTTATTTCGTTCTTTTTTTTTTAATTTCTTGATATCGTTTATTTCGTTTTTTTATTTTTTTTTATTTCTTGATCCCCGTTTATTTTATTTTTTTATTTTTTTTTATTTCTCAATCCCGCCTATTTCGTCTTCCTCCTTTTTTTTTTATTTCTCGATTCCGTTAATTTCGTTTTTTTCTTTTCTTTTTTCATTTCTCAATATCGTTTATTTCATTTTTTTATTTTTTTTTATTTTTTGATCTCCGTTTATTTCGTTTTTTTATTTTTTTTATTTCTCGATCCCGCCTATTTCGTCTTTCTCCTTTTTTTTATTTCTATCATTATGGCTTTGGTTGCTCCTGTTGTTGCTTCATTCGAATGGACCATTGAAGTTGCAAGAGAATTAATTCGACTTCGACGCGAGAATCATGACGATTTTGAGTTCGTTCCTAATAATCGCTATGAAAAGATATGAAGAACCATATCCAACCAATTGTTTCTTAATAAAGGGTTCGCCGCTTCTCCCTCTCAATGTTGTAGGAAATGGTACTCATTATAATATGAGTACAAAATCTCAAGAGGTTGAAAGCTGGGGAGAATTTCCACGACCAACCAATAACAAACCTAACTCTGCATGATCGGATATTTTATGCGGACTTGGGTGACGAATTTTGGCTTTGAACCGGTAATTATTTATTGAATAATAATTATAAGAAATATATTTTTTACTTTTTAAAACTTTAATTTTTTAATTTATTTATTATTTTTTATTATTTTTAGACATAAATCGTCATCGGTATAGAAGACAGCATGTAGATTGCCGCCGGTACCAGTACTGACATAGATCTCGTTCTCGCCGGGATTGTAAATCCCATTCTCGTGGTCGTTCTCAGGTTCATAGATCCCATTCTTGCCATCGTCATTCATGGGATTGTAGATCATGTTCTCACCGTCATTCAAGAGATCGAAGATCCCATTTCCGAAGATACAGAAGGAGGTTATATTCTTCATGAAAGAGAAGTTTTTCACCGAGAAAGCATTAATTTTTTTATTTTTTATTTTTTATTTTTTTATTTAATAATTTTATTTTTATTTTTATTTTTATTTTTTAATTTAATTTTAATTTTTAATTTAATTTTTATTTTTTTATTTTTTTTA